ACATCTCATAAGTTATTATATACTTATTACTGACGTCATTTATTCATACACTAGCATTGCCCGCGGCTCCGTCCGCGTTCATATGACCAAAACCAAATTCTTAGGTTTTATATATTAGTATACTCGTATGAGTATATTAGTTGACCCGGATAACCAGCTATTACCATACCAAATTTCATCAAAATCCGTCCAGTAGTTTTTCTGTAATGCGGTAACAGACAGACAGACAAAAATTCTAAAAACTATAGGTTCCGCCTCTGTATCAATAAAAATGTCTGTTTCAATAAGATTTTCTAAAAAGTATTTAATGTACAGATTTGACTTAGTTAGAATTTTATTATATGTATAGATTAAATTGGATGAAATGAGAATTGACACCAAAGAAGTATCTTGATCAACCAATTACGTACGTATTAGTATGGGTCTTCTTTCTATACACACTACGACTCAAGGTGTTATCTGTTTTGAGTATTACTAATATATCTAGAAAAGCTAAGGAATTGTTAGACACCAATTTTACTGTGAGTTGTATTTTAAAACTTATGAATTAAAGATGTCCTAAGAACATACTTTGTTAGTTGGTAATATTGTTAAAGTGTAATCTACGTAATAGTAGGAGATCCCGATGTGTGTGATAGTCCCCTCACTCTTTTTCCAGGCAAAATATTTTTAAATAATAAAATATATTTACAAATACGTCTCAGGCAGTTGTCACCAAAAATTTGTTCCAGGCTATTTTTTATTATATTTTTTTTAATTATCCACCACGTAGATTGGCATATAGACAACGCTTATCAAGGAAACGAGGGATCTCAGGTGCTGTGCTGTTTTTTCGAGATTTTTCATGAACTTTTTTCTCCCTTGACCACGATTGCTAAATACTTTAATTACTTTAACAAATTTTTCAAAACCTCAATAGGAATTCTAAACATACATATAAAGTCATCCATTAATATTAATTTTATTTAAAGTATTTCAAATATCTTGTACCATGATGTTTGCATAAACTCTTATCAATTAGAGCAAGGCTTGAGTCATCTGGCTTTATCGTTTCACGTAATAAAGCATTCTGTAGTTTAAGAGTTCTTTTCAAAAACAACACAAAGGGGGTCAGAACTAGAATAACCAAGTAAAGAGGTCGTTATGAATGCAAAATATCTGCTAAGTAGGCTCCGAGAAAATTATTAACAGTTTTCAACAAACTCTGTTTAAGACCGGATTGTTATTAATAATAAACCTTAGTCGTGCAGACGAACTTTGTTCCATGTAAATGATATTAGCATAGTGTAAACAACATAACATTGGTACGAGTAGAATATATTATACTGTTCATATGTGATCATGACTATTTATTAACCGACTTTCAAAAAGGAGGAGGTTCTATGTTTGTCTGTATGTATTTTGTTTTTGTGTTGATTTCTCGAACATAACGTGTTTTCCTACCTTAATTTTTAAGGTTAGGTTAATAACTAAAGTACACCCCCCCCCCCTCGGGGCGTCGTAGTTGAATGCGTAAGCGATCCTGCGACGCCCCATTAAGACGGGGGAAGGTTTTGTTGGGTTTTAGTGGGTAGTACTGGCTGTATTACGCCGGTGAGTCCCACACCTCGTGCGTAAATGCATTTCCCAACGTTAAACCCCCCCACCCCACGCCCCTAACGTGCATCCACCCGGCAATCAAGAAACGTACTGGGACGCGGCCCACCTTGGTGGGCGGTGTACTATGCGGGTTGCTCTTGATACTTCTCTGATAACAGAGAGGACTGTGGAGCAACTCCATGTTTGTCGTGGTCTGCTTCGGCAGACCTGCCGTCAAGGCGTCGTGGTTAAGTGCGTGAGCATTAAGCATGTAAGCATTAAGACGGAGGAGGTTCCGTTGCGTTTTAGTGGGTAGTACTGGCTTTGCCGGTGAGTCCCACACCTCTTGCCTAAATGCATTTCCCAACTTTAAAAAAAGGTTAATAATTAAGGTACGCTCCGAGGTGATGTTATAAAACTTCTTTAAAATAGAGTATATTATAATTATTAAGAAAATCAGAAAAAAAACAAAATTTCACTTGAAAAATTAGCATACTTCAGTAAACAGATTTATTTAGTAGTTTTTACCTGCTTCTAATAATAATATCGACTTAAAACTTTGTAAGAATTTTTATTTCCGATGATGATATGGTGAAGGGATGAGATGAACAGTGAAACTCTTCAACGGGTAAATATTTTGAGAATGGGCTTATTTGGTTTGATTTAAAGCAAGTTACGTTAGATTTAAATTGTAGAGTTTGAATTTTTTGTGTTATTAATAAAACCGAGTTATTTAGATTGTTAGTGTTCATTTAAATTTGGTAGATTGGAATAATCAAATTATAGACACGAGTGAATAAAAGTGAAAATTTTAATAATATTTGCTACATTTACACTTAAAATAGAAAAATTGAAATTCAAAAAAAATTGACTTCCAAGCACTAAAAAGTAAAGAATAACGATGGGGGGTTTCATTTACTTACTTATTTTTCATTATTACTTACATAAATATACCTAGGCAGATAATTTTAAAGTCTGAAGGTGGGTTTTCACTTTATAAATATCTATTTATTCTATACTAATATTACAAAGAGAGTGTGAATTTTGTGAGATTTTTGTATAAATAGAGCAATTTCCAGAAGTAATAGACCTTTTTGAAAAATATTTTACCACTCAAAAGGTGCATCATATCAAATGGAAAAAATCGTACCTCTGTAGAGCTTACACGACATATACTGCATCAATAGTTATGGTAAATAATGTACAGCTGAATTTTTTTCATTGATAAATTAAAAAAAAACTTATAAGCAAGTGCCTCTTTTTTAAGGATAAGTGATAAAAAATACAGTAAATGTTTTTACGAGTATCTTTTGAATTTTGATCAAAAACAAAGCATTATTTGCAAAACTATTTTAACAGATATTATATTGTAAAATTTATATCTTATTAAATACATAATCTTAAATAACTAGTTTACAAAAAAAATCTCTTTTCTTATATAATTTAAATTAATACCTTAATAATTAACGCTAAGTAAAAGCTCTCGCGCGACTAAATAACTATGGTGGCGGTCAACTGCGGTGGTGTATTATATTTCGGAGGAGTCTACGATTATTCAAACTTATATTAAGTTTATACTATTATTACGCAGAAAACACGTTTGGCTCAGTTTCTGACTTACTTGTTGTGTCAGTGGTTGCGGGTTTGAATCCCGCTGGTGGCATTAATTTGTGGGATGAGCACGAATGTTCGTACTCCAGTCATGGGTGTTTATATTTCTAATATGCATGTATTTAAAATTACATATGCGTACTGTATCAACTATCTGGTATCCATAACACAATCCTCGTAGCTAACCATGGAACTAGATGGTGCTGTGTGATAATGTCCCAACATATTTATTTATTTATTCTAAAATACTTATTACAAATAAACATATAGATTAGACTTATTATAGAGTCGCTAGTTGCATAATATAATGAAGGTACCTTCATATAAATAAATAACGAGCATAGTAGCAAAGAGCATCATGTGTGACAAGCGCAATATGCCGTAAGTATTGAACGCGATATTCGCACATAGTAAATATTGCATCTTACGCGATATCTAATCGCAAATTGTGAACCATATATTATTATGGATATCCATCTCATGACCCCAGAAAAAAGGCATAACACCGAAATTTTGTACCCCTTTTGACTTTTGAGACGGTCAATTAAATACATATTTAATTGTTCTTAAGTATTACGTAATTAATAAACACATACATAAGTTTTGGATAACTCTAATAAAACTTAGAGATATTCCTTGCATTTTATTAATACACATTATATTCTGTACTAGCATTGCCCGCGGCTCCGCCCGCGTTTAGATGACTAAAAATCAAATTCTTAGGTTTTACATATTAGTAACTCTTACATTGCAGTTTTTATATTTTTTCTCAGAAATGATATATTTTCCCGCGGTAAAATGTATCCTATATGTTGACTCGGATAACCAGCTATCACCATACCAAAATTCATGATGCGGTACAGTACAGACAGACAGACAAAAATTCTAAAACTATATATTCGGCCTCTGTATCGAAAATAATGTTTATTTCAATAAGATTTTCCCAAAAATATTTAATGTACAGATTCGGCTTAGTTACAATTTTATTATATGTATAGATTAATTTTATAAATGTAAAAGTTTGCACGTTTGGACGTTTGGATGGATGTTTGTTACTCAATGACGCCAGAACGGCTGAACGGATCTGAATGAAATTTGGCACAGAGATAGATTATAGTCCGGAATAGCACATGGCTACTTTTTGTCCGAGAAAAATGTACAACTCCCGTGGGATAAATTTCGCTAGTATACACATAGAAAATAGGCAGTGGTAGCCCAGTGGTAACGCGATCGCTTCGGAAACCGAGTGAAGCGGGTTCAAATCCCGGGTCTCGCACTTCTGATTATATTTATGTGCGAATCATTTCTAACATGATTACCACTTGCTTTACGGTGAAGGAAAATATCGTGAGGAAACCTGCATGTCTGAGAGAACTTAGCAAGTTTTCGAAAGACTGTGAAGACCACCAACCCGCACTTGGCCAGCGTGGTGGACTACGGCCTGATCCCCCTCGTACTGAAGGGAGGCCCGTGCACAGCAGTGGCACTTTAAAAAGGGCTGAATACATATGTATTAATTAATTTCATTGAACGCTCATCTTATTTCTTACTAATATTATAAATGTAAAGGTTTAGATGCTTGGACGTTTGGATGGATGTTTGTTACTCAATGACGCCAGCCAGAACGGCCGAACGGATCTAGATGAAATTTGGGATAGAGATAGATTGTATTCCGGAATAGCACATAGGCAACTTTTTTTCTGGGAAAAATGTACAGTTTCCGTGGGATAGATTTATTTTTCTTTTTCTTAAGGTAAACCCGAGCGAAACAAGACTAAACTGCTAGTATACACATAAGGCAAGCAAATTACCTGTAATGCACTAGGCCACGTGCAAGACGTGTCTCCAACGACTTCAACAGCCACTGGTTGATATTCGGTAAGCTCTGATGAACACGATGTTTTTGAAGCAGATGCACCATATTGTGCCACTTGTATACTAATAGTTGTCCCTCTTGGACATATAAGCGTCATCATTTCCTCGTCACACGCGGCTTTCTGATGTGTTCTTAATGTTCCAAGAAGTAACTCTGGTGACAAAAAAGATAATATTGAACATAAATGACTATTTATAAATAGCTATTGACTAATCTATGTATGAACTATAACTATTATTTATTCTTATTTATATTACGTGATTTTTAATTAAAATAAAACAGTGTATACTTTCGGTCTTATTACATTTTTATAACGTGCGTTCACCTTGTCGTGGTGAGGGGGCTCAGTAGTGCCCGGCAATTCACCGGGCGCGAAGCTAAGAAACGCACAGGGAGGTGGCCCACTTCGGTGGGTGGTGGAAGGTGGCCCTCTTCGGTGGGCGGTGTACCATGCGGGTTGCTCCTGGTACTTCTCTGATAGCAGAGTGGACTTTGGAGCAACCCCATGGTTATTGTGGTCTGCTTCGGCAGACCTGCCGTCGGGGCGTCGTAGATGAATGCGTAAGCGATCCTGCGACGCCCCATTAAGACGGAGGAAGGTTTTGTTGAGTTTTAGTGGGTAGTACTGGTTTTGCCGGTGAGTCCCACACCTCGTGCGTAAATGTGTTAATTTCCCAACGTTAAAAAAAAAAGTCTTTTGAAAATCAGTCAGTTTGTCACAAAATCCTGTATGTCGTGTAAACATATTAAAATAAACATTAATGAATGTTTTGTAAATTGTATTCTATTGTTGATCCTGCTATAATTATTTACATAAAACTAAAGCAAATAGGTACGCTGCCAATGATCTACCACTGCTACTCAAATCATACTTACATATATATTTAATTAGACTTATTTTTTTGTTTTACTATAAACAACAGATTATTTTAAAGTCCTGAGACGAGCTTTCTAAGCAATTAATGCAAGTGTGCAGTACGTTCGTTGAACTATGTCAAACTATATCCATTATTGAATGTAAACCTTATCTCAGAGTGCACTGTTGCCTCGAGCTTCGTAATGTCTCATTACAACGTCCGAACGTAACTGCTAGGCAAATATGCCCACCTGTGAGACAGGATTGCGGAAAGCCAATATAAATTATGCAAATACCCCATCCCAGTACTAATCGCGTCGGAATGATACAGATCACGTCCGATATAAATGTAGATGCAGAAGAATGTTTAATATTTTCCCATTAAGATTTAAGTATAATAGAATTCATTTATAATTTTAATTAATTTGTGTTCTTAGGAATATGTTCAAGAAATATTAAGAAAAGCTTGTAAGTTATAAAAAATATGACGTATTGTGATTTCATATACTAATTAAAAAAAAAGGGTCTTAATTTATTTATTTGAAATATTTTATCGATGTTTAATAAATTAACTCTGACTTTCACACCAACGACAAAGCAGTAGGTAAATATTTTTAAAATAAATAGGTAAGAGGACAGTTACTGTCCTCTTACCAATTTATTTTATTTATTGTATTTTATTAGCCGATTCCCATTCAACTACTGTAGTTGAATGGGAATCGGCTGTAATGTAAAAACTTCCAAGACCAAAGACAACTGAAATAAAAAAAAATCTTATATCCTTATTAAGATCATTTTTAACTGAATGCTTAAAAACACAGACACAGACAAACTTTCAGACAGTCTCTTTAAAACATAAAGTCTTGATTTTATGCAAGATGTTTTATACCTTTCCCCGAAATTCGTTATTTCATAATGATCCATGAGCCCGACGAGACTACAAACCAACGATTGATCATTTTAAATTTACGATCACCGATTCTACACTGGCATGATTACTTGGTAATATGAACTCAGGGTAAAAATATGATGAAAATTTAAAATTATTGTTTCATGTTTACGGCCTATATAATAGTTAACATTCGCTTAAGTGATGAAGCTGGAAAACACAATGAAAACAATTTTTTTTATAAAAAATAGGCGTAGATTCTGTGTATAGAACAAAGTAGTGATGAGCAAGAAAATATAATAAAGTTGGAAAAATCTATACATATAAATAAATTATAACTTAGCCGAATCTGTACATTAGATATTTTTTGGAAAATCTTATTGAAATAAATATTATTATCGATACAGAGGCCGAATTTATAGTTTTTAGATTTTTTGTCTGTCTGTTGGTCTGTCCGTCTGTCTGTTACCGCATCATAGAAGAACTACGGGAGGGATTTTTATGAAACTTGGTATGGTGATAGCTGGTTATCCGGGTCAACATATAGGATACTTTTTACCACGCCAAAATATCTCATTTCTGGGAAAAAATATAAAAACTGTACTGCAAAAGTATACTAATAAGTAAAACCTAAGTATTTGTTTTTTGGTCATCTGAACGCGGGCGAGCCGCGGGCAACGCTAGTTATTAATAAATTATGTAATATGGATTGATTTAACTTCCGTGAAAGTTGGTAATATGATTTTGATAAAATAAATTTGACTTACAAAAAGGTATTCAACTAACTTCTATTTTTTGTTGGTATGTTATGTGATATTTTTACCAATAATTATGAATCGATTTTCACCTCATCGATATCTCAAGAATTTCATATAAAAACAACATTTCCAAGGGTGAAATAATTACTTCTGTTTGGTTTTAAAATTCATAATTTAAGCTAATATCCTATAAAAACGCGTAAGGATGTTGGAAATCAGGTACATTATCGGAAATGTACTGGAATTTATAGCTTAGCGTTATTGGTTCCACAAACCATCTGTTTAATAAAATTCTTACTGAGTTGAATCTGTACATTAAATATTTTTTTGGAAATTCATGGATGTTTGATACTCTTTCACGCAAAAAACTACTGAATGGATTTTAATGAAACTTTACAATAATATAGCTCATACATCAAAATAACACATAATTTAGGCTATTTTTTATCCCGGAAAATTTTTCGGTTCCCGTGGGATAGATTTGTTTTTTTTCTAGAGGCAAACCTGAGCGAAGCGTGAGTGAGTCGATTATAGTTAGTAATAAAAAATGAATAACAATAAAAATCAAAGTAATAAATCATTTCACTAGCTTCATATACAACATCCATCACATGGTATCATGACCACACAGAAACATGTGTGCGATAATAAAAGTACTGAGATAAAAATATTTACAAGCACCAACTGTTACCCTATAGCTCAGTCATTTAGACAACGGGTCATTAAGGGGTGTCTTCTATTTATAGCTGACTCGTATTTCATACTCGACGAGAGGCGTAATAGGGCGCACGTGGCGAATGATCGACATGGCTTTTGGTGTGGAGTATAATTGAAAAGATGAAGAGATAATAAATACACCTGCCAATGATTTTTACATACTGTATTTAGATGTTTACGACATCTTCACTCCATAGTATAAAACAAAGTCGCTTTCTCTGTCCCTATATGGTTAAATCTTTAAAACTACGCAACGGATTTTGATGCGGGTTTTTTAATAGATAGAGTGATTCAAGAGAAAAGTTTTAGTATATAATTTGTTAAGTTTTTGTATACATTGGCTAAAATATAACGATATTTGTTGGAGGTGTCGGAAAAAATAAGACGTCTGGGAGCTTTCAACGAAAACGCTGCCTAAACCCTTTGAGATATAACAAAATAATGTACGGTGGAATTGTGTATCTTATATAGGTCTACAGAAAAGTCCGCGATGGCATATGTCTATCTCTTAAGGATAACATACTATATCCATTATAATTTAAAACGTACCTAGGGACGAACCTGAGCGAAGCGAGGGTGAGTCGCTAGTCTCCGTATAAATCTAAATTTGTTTACGTTTCAATTATTCTACGTTATGTATAGAAGCTGCATATTGATTATAATTGTTAATAATCACACTACTTTTATTAATGTCAAAGTTTGTATGTAGGTATACACGTATGTATATATGTGTGTATATATGTTTGTACGTAATATGTATGTAACTTTTTTACGCTAAAACGAGTAGGCGAATTTGGATGAAACTTAGTACACAGATAGATCTGGAGTAAAAATATAAGCTACCGATAGTATTTTTTTATAAGGTACAGTTATCTGTACTTATATAATATTAGCAAATACCCTATAGGTATGCATCCGAGAGAAGCGGGAGTAAGTCGTAGTACTACATAGTTTACCAAATATATTTTTTTATACACATCATTGGACATTTCGAGTAATTAATGTACGTACATAGGCATACTTAATAAACTTTTACCGATTTAATTTAAATCTGAATTATTAATCTATACATATAATAAAATTGTAACTAAGCCGAATCTGTACATTAAATATTTTTTGGAAAATCTTATTGAAATAAACAATATTATCGTTACAGAGGCCGAATCTATAGTTTTTAGAATTTTTGTCTGTCTGTCTGTCTTTCCGTCTGTCTGTCTGTTACCGCATCACAGAAAAACCACTGGAGGGATTTTGATGAAATTCGGTATGGGATAGCAGGTTATCCGGGTCAACATATAGGATACTTTTTACCGCGGGAAAATATCTAATTTTTGAGAAAAAATACAAAAACTGCAATGTAAGAGTATACTATTATGTAAAACCTTAGAATTTCGTTTTTGGTCATCTGAACGCGGGCGGAGCCGCGGGCAATGCTAGTTAAAATATAAACACTAATAAAACCATCCATTATCTTAATAATTATATTCCAAGTACCTACTTAATAGACAAAAATAAAGTTTCAAATTAGGAAACACTTGTACCAAACAAAGAGCATCTGTTCCTGCGGTGAACATGCATCTACTTAAAGAGACTTCTCTTACATAAATAATAATTAAACTCTAACGGAATAGGAACTACGAGTATTTAGCACGCTATCTGTCTCTGTCACGTATACGTGTTTTTCGTATAAAAAACAGATGAATTTTGTTTCTAAACGCGTAAAGATTTCATAATGCGAAACAAATTATCTATACAGATAAATATAATTTGAGTGTCTGTTTGTATTGTCGAAAAAAAGCTTTTTATTAAATACATATGAAATCATACACGGTAATTATAAGAAAAAATTCATTTTCAAAAATTTTGTCTGTCTGTTTATTCTGGCTAATCTTCGAAATTACTGGACTGATTTTGACGGGACTTTCACTGGCAG